AGGACAGTTTAGCGGTCACCTCCGTAGAACGGACACCTGTCTATAAAGGACAGTTTAGCGGTCACATCCGGGACTGGTCACCTGTCTATAAAAGACAGTTTACGCGTCACCTCCGTAGAACGGACACCTGTCTATAAAGGACAGTTTAGCGGTCACATCCGTAGACTGGTCACCTGTCTATTAAGGACAGTTTAGCGGTCACATCCGTAGACTGCGTCACCTGTCTATAAAGGACAGTTTAGCGGTCACCTCCGGTAGACGGACACCTGTCTATTAAGGACAGTTTAGCGCGTCACATCCGTAGACTGGTCACCTGTCTATTTAGGACAGTTTAGCGGTCACATCCGTAGACTGGTCACCTGTCTATTAAGGACAGTTTTAGCGGTCACATCCGTAGACTGGTCACCTGTCTATTAAGGACAGTTTATAGCGGTCACATCCGTAGACCAGTCACCTTCTATTAAGGACACTTTGGCATTTCTCTGAGTGGAAATTATACAGTTAAAGCATCGCTATAGACCGGTCACATGTCTGTTTAGAACACTTTGGCGTTTCTCCTGATTGGAATTTATACAGTTAAACTACCACTATAGAATGGGCACCTGTCTACAACGGAAACCTTTTGAGGAGGCGTTGCAGGGTACAGATTACGCCTGATCTACTCAGGGCCTAGCTTTGGTTTCGGGTGGGGCTTAGCCCCATCTCAGCAAGCACAAGCCACAGTTAAATTACAGACCAAGTTAATTCTTGGGGACTAAACTATGGCATCGCGTGCACGCAATTCCATCTGCACAGATCTGCATCGGCAAATCTAAACGTGGGCCACGCACACAAACACACACCGCAACGACGTGCGCCTAATTCTCACTCGATTTATGGCCAAATTCCTCTTTCGTTTGTACAATTACACTTCAAGATTATAAATTTGGAAGTGTCACGCGACAATGTGCGCCTGACAATGCGTGCACTTGACAATGCGTGCAATGACAATGCATGCGCGACGACAACAGTGTAAAGACATTGTGCCGATCTACTAAGACAATATTTGCGGCCGCAGCCGGGGTTCCAGCTTGCATTTTTTTTCCACGGTTCAACCGTCCATCGTTCGAGCCGTGATGCTTGCGTGCACGTGCAATGGCGTCGCGTTGTCGCGGTCGCCGCGAGCGTACCTACGTTCTGCGCGGGCAAGCGCGCATATGCTGATGGCAGCGCACACTAGCATGATGGATCCCATCAGGAGAAAGGGCAGAAACAAATCCGCCGGCCTGAATAGTCGAGAATCAGGGCTGTAGCCGGACGCGAACGCACGAGTCGCATGTAGCGGGCGGGGGTATGGGGCTCCCCGAGTACGACGCATCGCTCGTGGCGGTTTGTCAGGGGGAGGGGGGAGGGGGTGACCGCTAAACTGTCCTTAATAGACAGGTGACTGGTCTACGGACGTGACCGCTAGCACAGGTTTCACTGTCGTTTGTAAAACGTGATGAGGTGTGGGACAGAGCACGTTGCATGGCCGCCCTGTCCAAGTACCATCCAGTATCCACTGTTACACGTGTACAGGTGCAGTTAATAGCAGTATAGGATGCACATCAATTGTCTCCATACTGCATGCACCTGCCTATTGTCATTGCAAGGTGTTGGACCGTATAGGTTTTTTGTTGTGGACAAGGTTTTTCTTTCAGATTTAGAGAAATCGCTTGCAATGCTCAGAAGGCGTTTTGGGCGGGTCTACGCCGAAGCAAAAGCGCCCCCTACATTTGCGTCGATTGCTAACCGTGTGTCTCTTTTTTTGTTTTGTTTTTTCTTCTTCTACAGGCCGGAGGATTTCTGTTGCCATTTCTGTGCCTGGGGTGCATATTACTTACGTGTGCTGCTGTCAGTATATTCTTGCTACCCCACCAGAACGGTAGGCAACGCTTTAGAGCATGGATCGGGCCACATTTGGCTGAATTCGGATTTGTGATGCAAGAGTGTTATTACTTATGAGACGTTACCTACAGAAGTAGATCTCTGTTAGCTATTGCAAACTCATGGACGTGTACAGTTTATGTGATACTATATAGATATATATATATACACACGCACGCACGCACACATGCATGCACGCACACACATGTATATATATATATATATATATATATATATATATATATGTATATCTATATATAATATATCTATCTATTCATATATATTGGATAGATAGGTAAATAGCTAGATAGATAGAAAGATAGATAGATAAATAGATAAATAGATAAATAGATAGATAGATAGATCTTGTGCCAACAGCCGTCGTCTAATTCATTTTCTCCACATTTCTTGTGTAGATGAGATAGATCAAAAGAATACTTCGAAAAAAACCTTCCGGGAACTGTTGGCGGTGCCCAGTGTCGTGCTATCTGGTATCACATTAGGCACCGCCGCCCTCACGATTAGCTTTATCGAGCCCTTGCTAGCAAACGACCTTCTATACAAGGTAACCTCTCCTCCCCCCCCCCCCCCCCCCCTTCGCTCCGGGCTAGGCTCAGTGGCGAAGCGAGCAAAACACCAGCGCGCTCTTTTTTACCGGATCTTCCTCGACCGGCGTAAATTACGCGCTGGCGTCACGTCGCGTTCGATCCTAAATCACGACGTAGCGACGAACTAATCGGATTTCCTGACTGACGTCAGATCAGTTGTCGCTTACTTTTCAGTGTTTATGAAGAGAAAGGCCTTGCGTAGTTTTTTATGTTTTATATTTTCGGCCTCGCGTTTTGCTCGCTGGCTCCGTTGCGTCTCTCGCTGCCCTCGCCGCGTCTATATCCGTGTGAATTAGAATCATGCACATTCCATTACCTCTGAATCTGTCCAACTGTGCCAATGATTGAGGTGTAGATATCGTGCTTTTTAAAGCAACAGTAATGTTAGCATTACCAGTGTGTATTGATCTCCGTTCTAATTTGGCAACGGGGCAAGAGAGTCGCATGCATATCAGAAATCCTAAACGTCAAGTTTCCTGCCTCCTTCAATGCTTTCCTCTTCCACTCGGCCTTCCTTGATACATTATTGCGTGCATGCGCGTGAATGTGTGCGTGTGAATGGTCCTGCAATATCAATCTTTCGGGAGAAAGTCTGTGGCTAAATTTCGTCGCGTGAGTATGTGGCTTAAACTATCTTTGGAAAAAATTGGCTGTGAGATTTCGGTTTATAGGAACTGCATCTTGTCTGTGCAGAGTAAAAATGAACCAGCCCGTTAGCTTAGTTGTGTCTAGGAGCTCATTTCTCTAGTAATAGTAGTGGCATTAAATTTCCATGATGGAACCTCAAAAGCTCAAAATAATCTGGCTGTGGTTTGACGGAATACACGCGACGTATTTCATTGTGTGTCCGGTGGGAATGAATCATTGATATCAATTATTGACGATGAATTATGAAACTTTCGAATTCTCTGCCTGAAATGCATCCTGTAAGATTCTCTGTGTGATAATGGTGCTTGATGTAATGTTTCTGCTCACACTTTCTCTCTCTGTCAGCCTCTCCTTTAGCTTGTCAGTGTGCCTAACTATTCGCTTGCTTCTCTGTGCATGGCAGTTGCTTGTTTCAACTGACATAGAACGCTTTTCTCTTTTCGCAGGACTTTGCAAGAATGTCTAACCCATTAACAACCATGTGGTTTCTCGTTTTTCGTTCATTCTGTTAACATGCTAACAGTTTTATTTTCCAAGCTGTTCCTTTTAATAAGTGTACATCAAAGAAGAGAGATACTGTGCATGCACTGTGTCTATATCAATCTTGATCTTGGTAAAACTACATTTAATGACCTCCACACTGCGTTCACATTAGATTGGCAGCACCTGACTACTTGTTTGAGTATTATTGTTGCCAATTTTGTTTCAATGCAGCATGGTTTCATGTTTGTAGCTTTATAAAGCAGGAACTGATATAAACAGCATATGCACTCTATAGTAGTAATTTTCTTTTTGTTTGTATACTGACTTGCCTGTACGCATTAACAACTTTCATTTTCATTTCTTTTCTAGAGTCTTCTATGAAGCCTTATTATTTTGATGATGATATTTGACTAATAATAGTCTTAGCTTGTTCTGGCTATCTTGTTTGTTTCGCACGTCAGCTATTTGTTGCTTTTGCATGCGCTTGTGCCTTGATTCAAACTTCTTCTTTTTAAACCAATGAACAAATTTATGGTCATTCTGAGGAATTAGTATATATACGTACCTACTCATGAACATGTGTATATTATCAGGAGTGAATCAAACCAACACTCCTGATGCTATGTATGTATATGTGTATATGTATGTGTATGTGTATGTGTTTGTATATGTGTGTATGTATATGTGTATGTATATGTGTGTGTATGTGTATGTGTATGTGTATTTGTGTGTGTATAAGTATAGATATGTTCATGAAAAACGTTTGTTCATTGGTTTATGCCCGCTTTAGCTACATGCTGAAAATACCTCTCCTGCATTAATAATTCTTGGCATTAATGCCTCTATAATCGCCATCCCTCTCTGCAGAGAGAAGGTACAAGCACCCCACAAAAATTCGGAATTCGAAAAAGAATTTGCTGAGATAATATTTGCGAGAATGAGCACGGCATTTCCACGAATTTAAACGAGCATAGTGCGTCATTTATCGTGAAAGTAATTGAGTCTGTATCGCACGATTAACGAATTGACCTGTCCATCTGGAGTGAGTGGCAATTCAATAGGAACATTCCGAAAGTTCTGCTTGGTAATCAAGCGCCGTAAAGTCGGCGATTTGGAATGCGCTCGTGACACAAAATTTTTTGAACTGGTCTAGCTTGACCATCCTAGCTGCGATATCATTGACCAACCTAGCAATGATATCCAAGGATGGCGTGGTCTTATCGCTTCTTAAGACGGATAGGTCAATTGCTGTGAACAAAATGATGTAAATCAGTCGAATTATTCGAGTATTTATACATCGATAACACACAGTATCTGTCTGCAATATTTCTCACGTTTCGCTAATGAACAAAATGATGTAAATCAGTCGAATTATTCGAGTATTTATACATCGATAACACACAGTATCTGTCCGCGATATTTCTCACGTTTCGCTAATGAACGAAATAATGCAAATCTGTCGAAATGTTCGAGTATTTATACATCGATAACACACAGTATCTGTCCGCGATATTTCTCACGTTTCGCTAATGAACGAAATAATGCAAATCTGTCGAATTATTCGAGTATTTATACATCGATAACACACCGTATCTGTCCGCGATATCTCTCGTCTTTCGCTAATGTCCGATCGCTGCGCAGACCAGCTTCCCACCTCAGGTCTGAGCTTCCTGAAGATGCTCGCACTTCCCACCGTCTTTATCTCCGGCGTAACGATATCGGCCGCCGCCATGACGATAACGTCGGTCGAGCCGTTTCTGCAGTCGCATCTCAGTCAGGTATTCTGCCATTGCCTACGTTCTGCGATGTCCTACGACGTTTCGCGATGTTCCACGACGTTTTGCGATGTTCTACAACATTCCACGACGTTTTGCGATGTTCCGCAACGTTCCGCGACGTTCTGCGATGTTCCGCAACGTTCCACGACGTTCCGCGTTCCGCGCCACGTGGCCGATAAACGATTAAGTTGTCGAGGACGACGATGTGATATCTGTAAACCGATTCGGTGATCTGACTTGTTTTGCGAGTTTTAAGGTGGTGGTGTTCGTTTATTCGTGGTTCGATTATTTGGTGATTCGACTCGTTTTGCGGGTTTTAAGGTGGTGGTGTTCGTTCATTCGCGGTTTACCGTTCGCGTGCTGTTTCTCAGGCCGTGGCTTCGGTTTCGCGTGTTTGATGATGTGACAACAGGGGATCGACTCGCGTCTCTGCCACGCTCGAAAATTTAAAACGATTCTAGAATTTCTAGAAGTTACGAGAAATGTGATACGTGCATCGTTTTTTAGTTTTCGGGGGTTTCACGTTAGTTGCAAGGCTGCAGTGGAGGTCAATTAGTCAACCATGTGAGATTTAAAAAAAAAACGATTTTATGCCACAGCTTCGCGGAATTCAAAATAAATAATGAATCGCGCAAAAGTTTTGTATTGTAGTGACCACTCACGTTCACGCATGCTCGTTGCTAACACGGTCGAGCACCGTAAATTAAGTCTATTTATTGAAAACTGTCATATTTCCTTTAGAGTACCCCCCCCCCCCGCGAATAAACTACGTTCGTTAGTTGCTCGGCCATTTTTTTAGCAGCATTGTTAACCTGACGATGTTGGAACGCGCTTTGCAGTTTGGGTTCGGACCGGAGTTGGTCGGCCTCATCTTCCTCTGCATGTCGGGAGTGTACACATTCAGTGCGCCGTTCTGGGGCTACCTGAGCGATAAATACGTAAGTTGTGATGATGCTACGTACTACTACGTCGCGATAGTGTTCAACTGATTCATTCTGATTTGCAAGGCGCACGCCGAATTGCGTGGAATCGTGGGATGGTATTAGAAATGCACCACCAGGTGACTGGTGATTGAGACTATCTTTACTACGTCTGTAGTAATAATTGCAGTCAATAATTGTAGTTTTTTGATAGCTAAATGATTAATCGATTGTAATCTTCTGCAATTTTAATAATTAATAATCAATACTTTGTAATTTGGCATAATTTCTTGATAATCTTATTAGTTGATAATTCATTGAGATAATTATATTTGCAACTCGTATTATCTCTTGTCGTTGCCTCGCTCTCGCGCCGCGCCATCGCCACGGCGATCACAAACGCTCGGTTTCTTGTTTGCATCTTTCAGGCGCACGCGAAGTGGTTTATGTCAGCCGGATGCGTGGCGTGTTTCATCGGAACGATCTTCATCGGTCCGTCGCCCATCTTCAACCTACCCTCGTGAGTGCGTGCGCGTGCCCCCAGACGCAACACGAGAATGCTTTCGACGGGTGGAGCAAATCTTCTCGGCTTACTTGTGCCCCCTACACAAATAGGCTATCCGTCTGAGTAAAGCTGGGTTCGAAAAGCAGCATCAAAAAGTCGACGAGTTGATACATTTTTCAACGTTCTGTTTGCCTTTCTATCAGATGCTCAAAGCATTTACATTATCGACTGCGAGTCGGCAAACATTTTGCTGGTCCTCCACCCAGTTTGGCATCTTAGATATACCGCGCCCAGCGGGTAAGGTTACTGCTGTCGGTCAAACTAGAAAAGTTCGTATGCGTTTTTTTTTCACGCAGGCGTGCCAAATTATCTTGCGACACTTTGTTGCTATGAAACTTTTTTGGAACACCGCCTTTTGTAACACCAACTCATTTGAGCTACTATTCAATTACTTAAGCTGGTCTGTGTGTCCAATTACTGGAATTCGTGGTTTTAACTGAGGTTTTCAATCTCTGAGGTCGCGTTTGTATTCTGCAGGTCGGTCTGGATCACAGTGATGTCACTGTGCTTCATGGGCGTGGGCGTGGGACTGCAGCTGGTCCCTCCATTCAAGGACTGCCTCGTGCAGGCACTGTGAGTAGTTGATAACGTTCCATGACGTGTACGCTCAGGGACGGATCTAGGGGGGGGGGGTCCAGACCCCCCGGGCCCCCCTTTAATTTCAAAGTGCCATAAAAAATTAAAAGATCATTTTCTGCTAAAAATTTGGAATTCCATCTTGCATTCTAGACATCAAAATTACTGTTCAGATGCTCTCAGAATGCACTAAAAAAGGGGGAAAATGCATTCCAGAATGCACACCCTAAGTGGGCCTTCGGCAGCTTATTAAAACACCAGAAAAATTAAGCAGGAAAAAGTGCCCTTTATTTCTTCCTGGACACCCCCTTTTCAAAAATCCTGGATCCGCCCTTGGCGCTTGCAGCAATGTAATTAGCATGCACTCGTATATTCGAGTAGAGTCCATCGTGGATGTGAGGGTGATGCAGGCGGGACCTCAAAAGTGTCTTTTGTAGACAGGCGTGCGTTCTATTGGGGGAGTTTTACTGTGTAACTATCACTCAAAAGAAATACTGAAAGCGTTCTTTTCGGACGTTTGCTCATTGCATAGAAGCGTTTGCTAACGCAGTAACTTACTGCACCTTGTAGTTGTTTTGCCTCTAAGAACGGAACTATGTCTCGGTGATCTGTACTACAAATATTATGCTCTGATATGCAGTATTTCAACAATATCAGTTGTCCTATCCAAAAACGAAAATACTTGCTGTTTATATATACCGTCGTTCTATATTATCAAGAGTAGGTAATAGAAAGTACATCTCTATTATGTACTTTTGATATTATATATCTTATCATGTGTTTGCACTATCGTTGTTCATATCGTTGTTTTTGTGTTTGTGTGCACGTGCACGTGCTTTAGCGATCACGGATTCCCAGACAACTTTGAGACGTATGGCTTAGTGTCGGGCCTGTTTGGATCCTGCTTCTCGTTTGGGTGAGTCATCTTATGTGAGCGAAATATTACCTCGTGCAAAATCCACCAACTCCAACCTTGATCTGTCCGCTTGACACAGCTCACCTAAGCATGACAATCGTTAATTTATAATTGTTTCTTTACTATGTATTCGAATTCCTGTCCTTATTCGGTCATGAAAGCATTTGTCATCATTTTGTATGCATTATGTGTCATTGATAATGAAAAGCTGTGGCTGTCAACCCGTAATAGTCCCGTATGCATTGTAAAGGGAATGGATTTGGTATGGGAAAATTCTTGTTGCACTAATCTGACGCTCTCTTGTTTTTTTGTAGGGCATTCTTTGGCCCATCCGTTGGTGGTATTCTGGTACAAACTATTGGATTTGGCTGGACTGGTACCTGTGTTTCAGTCGTGCACCTTGTACTGGTAAAAGCAAATAAAATATTATACAATATAATGCTATCCATTACCCAGACAATAATCCTAATGTAAAATATATATTCTAAACGGAGGATCTAGAATAAAATTTCAGCAATTACTATAATTAACATTAATATTAATATAGCAGCAAGTGATGTGGGGTTTTGTTTTCTTTTTTTCCGTCGCCAGCTGATAGTGCTGCTGCTATTCATCCTGGTTCAGTGGAGGAAAGACCGGAAGAAGGCCTGCGCCGAGGAGAAGCTTACCGATGACGAGCGAGCGATCGTCGTCGACAGCCTGTCGGCCAGCGGCAGAATGCGCTCCAAGTCCATCATCGAGGCAAGAAGCGGCGCCATCGTCTATCGAAGATTCAACTCTTGCAGCAATTCCGTTACGGTGGAGTAACGGAGTATACGCGCGTCGGCGTGAGCGATGGATGCAACGGCCTCGGATGTATCGTCGCTAGGTTGACGAAGCTGGACCAGTTTGTACGGGTTTTTTTTCTCACGCGCGCGTGCCGGATCGACTCTGTGGTACTTTGTTGCCTAGGAATATTTTCAGGATGCATTCATCGCAGTAACGATCGGTTGGCGCTATCGGTCAATCATTCCGGAAAGGTAGTTTGATGTACTTGCGATCTGGATGTACGCTCGTCAGTGCATGGCTGTTGCAAGGGTCAGCAGTGCAGTCGTGAGGGTTTTACGCCGCTCGTGCTGACGACGCATTGTCACCTCCGTGAGCGCCACCTGGTGTCTGATTTCACGGATTGATGCACCTGCTGGGCGACGGAATCGTGGCGCGTGCAACAATAAACGATTTCCGTGTTTGTCGGAAAAATTTCTTTCCTTGGCAGCATTAACCAAACCCGAATCATTCCGTTCTCGTGTAGCGACTTTGAAGGTTAAAAGGTCGACAGTGTGTGTGGTGCTGTCGATGGAGCAACAGGGTTAATTTTAATGAGCATTACTTAAAGCATGACGTGTGCGCTGCTTGGCAGTGATGTTTGAGGTGCTGAAAGCATTTTGGAAATGATATAACTTTTGCTTGTATATTATGTGTAACGGATCATTTTACAAATTTGAAACGTTTCCCGTACCACCATTATCATGTTGTAGGCGCTATTCTTGTGAATGTGATGACAATTCATGTGATTGTGAGCTGTTATGTTCGTATTGATGGTTCGTGGAAAATGTGCTCTGTCAGATTGTGCTTAAAATTCTGGTCAGAATGTTTCGTGTCTCACTTTGATATATTGTTTCCCGGTCGCCGTGCTGAAGCCGGTCATTGCCGCTAAAAATGGCAAAAACAGATATGTGATTTTTTATCTATATATGAACGTTTTAACAGGTATAAATGGCAATTATTATACTTAACCTGTTGTGGTAACATCACTGATAATATTTGTGTAAAAAAATATATGTGATAGCAAGATATACGGTGCATCAATCCAAACGATTATATCAAACCTATGCCCCTGCGATTTTTGCTTATTACTAAACGATCATGGCAATTACTATACGTAGAAAAATCAAGCAGTTACCATGTGTAAAAAATGTGTGATAACAAGTTATATCGTAGGTAAGTAGTCTAAAAGCTTGAATCCAAGCTATATCCGCACGTGTTTACGGTTTTGTATACAGTCTAATAGCGTCATTATGGTGTGTTTTTTTCACGGTTGTCACTCTCTGGAATATATTGATACACAGATGTATTTTATACATTCCACTCTGCTATTTTATATGCTGCACTATATTCTATACAGTTGTTAAAGAGGAATAAAATTAGTACTGTGATGAAAAAACCAGTTCCTGTTGGCGAACATACTTACTAAAAAAATGTGGGTTTTCAGGAAATTTCAATGCCACGTAGGCCCTACACCCTCTGCATTTATATACATGCAGGCGCACACACATACGCAGGCGCACACACACATGCGAACGCACACATGCACGCACGCGCGCACACACACACACACACACACATGTACGCGTCCACACACATACACACATGCGCACGCACACATGCGTGAGCACGCACACACACATGCACGCGCGCGCACTCACATACACACACACACGCACGCGCACATACACATGCAACATATAAGCACTTATATACTGTAACGGTTTTCTCCCTCTCTCTGATCGTCTAACCAACCGCGTCGACTGCTACCATTGGCCGTGGTATAGTACGGGTTGCCGTTGTCGCCGCGCACCCTGACAGGGCCGTTACTCCCCGTCCTTTCCGATTCGATCACTAGGATCGCGACGAGGGAGAGGCAGCCAAACCCCCAGAGCGCCGAGAAGAGGGGGGGGGGGACGTTCCGGTCGTCCAG